AATGGTCATCTCCCACACTGCAGTGAGACTGGCTCCTTTGAACTGAAAAAGACAGCAGTGTGTTGTACCAGTTATGTAGTCTCGGCTCTATCAGGCATGTACATTTATATGAGGCTTCTTATTATAAGTAGAATATCAAGCATTGAAACCAATTATCTTTGCAGGTGCAGTGACTGGGAACAAACTAAACCAATATGGGCTAAAAATAGTACATGTTGAAAATCTCAAAGGACTAGAATGATCTAGCTTGGAATAAGAGCTCTAATGGACAGAAAATCGGTATTTAATAAGGAAGTATAGTCAGAAGTACAGTTATTTAACTACAGAGCAGCTAGCAAATAATTCAGAAGTTGGATGGGTTAGCATTACAAATAAGTGCACTGACCCTTGGGGGACTGTACCACTGGACTGCTGTATGGCACAGGAGAGCAAATCCATCAGGGTCCAACTAGGGGCACTCAGCAGTGAATAAAGAGGCAAAAGGTTTTTGTGGGTTTAATTAAAAAATAAAAGTACAATGATGTGCTCTCTTGATCAAGATAGGAGAAACAAGCTTTCACCTTCATAATTAGTAGAAGCACCAGTTGATACATTCTCTTTGAGGGATAATTTGCAACTATTCTATCAAAATTCTAAAAAGACACATATCCTTTAATCCAGCAATTCTACTTCTAGGAGTTTATCCTGCAGACATATTCAGATAAGGTAGGAGAAACAAGCTTTCAACTTCATAATTAGTAGAAGCACCAATTGATACATTCTCTTTGAGGAATAATTTGCAACTATCTATCAAAATTCTAAAAAGACACATATCCTTTAATCCAGCAATTCTACTTCTAGGAGTTTATCCTGCAGACATATGCAGATAAGGTAGGAGAAACAAGCTTTCACCTTCATAATTAGTAGTAGAAGTACCAATTGATACATTCTCTTTGAGAGATAATTTGCAACTATCTATCGAAATTCTAAAAAGACACATATCCTTTGATCCAGCAATTCTACTTCTAGAGTTTATCCTACAGACATATTCAGATATGTGCATAAAGATATAGATGTAAAGATATTCGTTGCAACATGATTTAAAACAGCACAAGTTTAGAAACAAATAGGCCATCAGTGGGGACTGGCAGGAAGTTGATTCCTGGACCCCCACATTGGGCTTAATATCCCTCCTCTGTGCTGCTCATCACCGTTTTTAAAACCTCTAATGATGAAAGGATCCATTTATTTGTTTGTCTGTTTGTCTTTCCCTTTGAGGTTACTGTTATTTCCCTTACTTTGCAAATGAGGAATCTTGGGCTCAGAAGGCCTGTACAGCCCTCCTGTAAAGATTGAGGCAAAAGTATGTAAAAAATAAAGTCATGAAAGGAAGTGGTGTGTTGGGGAAAGAACAGGTGGTCAGTGTGGCCATATAGAATGCATGGGCTCAATATGCTGTGATAGGAAGTTTGGACTTTAACCTAGAGGATTTAATTCAATCTCTTAGGAAAAAAGCCATGAGTGTGAAACCTATAAACCAAAAAGCATCTGAGACAGGTCTCACTCAATTCGTAGGTTTCTTTTGCCAAAGTTAAATACCATAGCCCGTGATATGGCCTCAGGGGTTCCTCAGAACATGTGCCCAATGTGGTTGTGCTTGATGTTATACATTTTAGGGAAATAAAAGTTATAAACAAAAACATAAATCAATACATGTAAGGTATACATTGGTTTGGCCTGGAAAGGCAGGACATCTCAAAATCGGGTTGAAGGGGCAGCTTCTAAGTAACTACGTGGATTCAAAGATTTCCTGGTTGAGAGAGTTCAGCTATGGCTGAAGAATTGAAGTCAGCTTGAGTTAAGGGAAGGGAGGGGTTGTGGAAGCCAAAGTTATTTTCATGTAGGTGAAACCTCCAGGCTTCAGAGAGAATAGACAGTGAATGTCTCTTATCTGACCTTAAAAATTGTCAGACTCTTAGTTACATCTCTTCTGGATCAGGAAAAGACCTGGAGAGGGAAGAGGATTCTCTACAGAATGTAAATTTCCCCTCTAAGAGACAACCTTGCAGGGTCATTTCAAAATATGTCAAAGAAATATAGTTTAGGGTAAAATACTTTGATTTCAGAGTCAGGTTGGAGCTGATATCTTATTGCTACAGAGTCAGTTCTGTCAGTCTTAGGCTCTCTGTTTTAATGTTATGCTGGGCAGTTGTGCCTATATTCCAAAAGAGAGAGGGTATAATTAGGGATGTCCAATCCCCCACTTTCCTTCATGGCCTAAACTAGTTTTTCAGGTTTCTTTGAAATTCCGTTGGCTGTGAGGGGGGTCCATTCAGTCTGTTGAGGGGCTTAGAATTTTAATTTTGGTTCACAGACCCAAAGAGATCCCCCTTCCATTGAGTAAGGTCAAGTTAAAAAACTGAGACTCCAGGAGGACAGAATGAAAGGCTGTAATCCAAAGGGAATGTGACTGGATTTTTTCTGTAGGTCTTCCTGGGAGATCAATAACAGAGATCTTAGAAGATCATCTTGATCCTGCCCTCCTCTTTAAGAGCTGGGGTGCACCAAGGAGACAATGGAGTCTACAGGCATAAAAGTCAATTCCTCTCCCCCACACAGGGAGGTTGAGTCATGAATGACTTTCATTCTCACCAAAAAGCTCTTGTTCTTCCCCATTCCCCCACATCCCAGTTCTAAATGGAAGTAGAGGGCAAAATAAGAACAAGGATGTTGATGTTGCCAAAAAGCTATGAACGAAAGAGATACTGCCACCCTAGCTCGCCTTTGAGTAACTATTTCTCTTTTTTGTACTCTTCCAAATGATCAACTGATTTTTTTAATGACCTGAGATTCTTTGATTATTAAGCCTCTTGCCACTACTGTTAGTCACTTCCTGTCTAGATCAAGATGGCAGAAACCTCAGGGGAACAAAATCAGAAGGGGCAAAGAGCCTGGGCACTGAAATAGACTGCAGTTAGCTAGGAAAGGTGGCCTGGAGGAGAGTTCTATGAAGTGAGATGAGCCTGCATCAGAAAGCTGGAAATCAGAGCCACAAAGGCTAGTGTAGACTAGGACAACAGTAATGAATTACAGGGACCTGGACATACCTTCTCAGAGTTAAGCAAAGATTCACTGAGATATGCTTATTTGATTCTTTCTGTCTAATTTTAAGCTAGCATTTCTTCCAGTTAGACATATGGATGTCTTTATGTCAGGAATGCTTTCAAATATCCATCCCAAGTATCCAACAGGCTAAGCATTTTTTTGTTGTTGTTGTTTAATTTTCCTGGCAGCTTTCATTTAATAAAGCACTTCTTAACAAGACTTTCATGTTCTGATTCCTTCCTACTTCCCCATATTCATTTCTGCCACCTCCTCCCTAAAATATACCTACACACATATACATAAATATACATAATTCTCCAACCATTTCCAATTATTTGCTGCTTCCTAAACATACTACAGTCTTTCACTTCTCTGTGTCTTTGCATCCTCAGCCTACTTGCCATACCTCTCAATCTTTCTCACTTCTCTATGTGGTAATTCTTGCTTTTCCTTAAAGATTCAACTTTCTTCTCCAAATTCCTGTGTTTCGTAGAGCACTTATCACACTGCATTGTAATTTATGTGTGCACCAGCCTGCCTACTTGCCTCTGTATAATTTCAGTGACTTTGTGGTAATAATATGGTGAAGAATAATATTAGTAAGAATAGGATGAAGGCTGTTGATGTTATTCTGGTTAATAACTAAGAAATAAATGGGGTTGTTTACTTCTATCAAGCAGAAGTAAAGGATGAGAGGGTCCAGCTGTTACAGCTCTAAGCCTTAACAGTGAAACTTAACTGAAGAAGGGCATGGACCTGATGAGAATGAAACCTCCTGAGCACAAGTCACACTAGCCCTGCAGGGGATTGATGGCTCCAGTAGAGAAAACCATCAAAATGGGTCTTTCAAGGAACATAACCCTGAAATTGCAATGGAAATGGCTTCTCACTTTTCTTCTTTTAACTAAGTGACAGTAAAGTCACCATTGCAGGAATGGATACTGATCTGTGCATGTGTGTATCTTGGTGTGTTCATGTTTTCTTAGGAAAAAAAGCTGCTAACAGGGGCCCGACGCAGTGGCTTATGCCTTTAATCCCAGCACTTTGGGAGGCCAAGGAGAGCGGATCACGAGGTCTGGAGATCGAGAACATCCTGGCTAAAACGGTGAAAGCTGTTTCTACTAAAAATACAAAAAATTAGCCAAGCACCTTACCATTACCAAAAAAATGGCAAGCACCCGTAGTCCCAGCTACTTGGGAGGCTGAGGCAGGAGAATTGCTTGAACCTGAGAGGCAGAGGTTGAAGTGAACCGAGATCACCACTGCGCTCCACTCCATCCTAGGTGACAGAGTGAGACTCCATCTCAAGAAAAGAAAAAAATTTTGCTAAGAATGAGAATTCAATTTTGAGGATTTGTCTTAAAGTTTCCTAGAAAAGATTTCTCAATCAAATGGTACATTTGTTTAATACGGCTAAGGTTCGCCTAGTCTGCCTGCTGCTACCGCAGCCCATCAGTCTGTCTAGCTACCCTAGGGCAGGGGGTGCACCGGGGTGAGTCAAACAGAACTCTGACCCCTTTAACCAGGGAATGGGAGACCCACACAAACAGCTTTCCCTCTCTAAAACTAAATAGAACCCAGGATTTATTTGAAGATGTAAACTCATCAGTAATAGGACTGAACGTCTTTTTAATATTACCAGAGAGTAAATTCATCACGAATAATTACACTTTGACCCTAAAATATTCTCAAGTCCTCAGTTACCTCAATGTACTTAAGTACCAAAACACTGCCCGTGCGGAAATATGTACTGGATAGGCTTATCTGAAGGGCTACGGGTGACTAAACTCACTTCCAAAGGGAAAGTACAATGTAGTAAATAACAGGTTTCAACTTCCTTGCTGAATTCTGTGAGAATTCAAAGAGAATGCTTGTGGTTACAAACTGCTGTGTGTAGTTGAAATCGTCTGCCACCACAAAACGCAAGGATGCAAACGGATGTCTTTCAAAGGACTCCGCGTGGGGGGAAGCAGGAGAGACCAGGGAGGAATGAGCCTGCAGACCGGACGGTAGCCGCCCCTCAGCTCTCTACAAAAGTGGTCTCTGGGGTTCCCCGGCTCACGGCAAAGTGGGAGGTGGGGGTCTCGGGCGTTCCCCTGAGCTCCGGGAAGGCCTGTGGCTCCTTTAATTCCAGGACCACCCGGCTCAGAAGGCCTTTGAGCAGCTGCATTTCTCGGAGCAGAAGGTCCACGTCGGGTTTCCGGGCTCCAGCCGATTGTTCCAAGGGCGTCGGCGGAGAGCAGGCAGGCGGCCCCGCAGTCGGGACGCCGCCCGCCGGAAACTGCAGCCCGGTGGAGGTGGTATTCGGGACGGAGGTGACCGACAGGACCCATCTGGACACCGGGGGCTTTCTGAAGGAAAGCGGCTTGTTACTAGGAGCCAAGGCTGCGGCCGGTGGAGCTGGGGCTGTGGTGGAGGCCGGGTCCAGGAGAGAACCTGTGAATGCATCACGCCCAGTCACGCGCCGCTGGCAGGGTTCTTAGCGCTGAGCTGGGGGAGAGGGGTGGAGCGGTGCGGGGGATGGGGAAGGCCAGAAGAGGGGTGAAGAGGAAGGAGGCGAGGGAGAGATGGGAAAGGCGGGGGCGGGAAGGGGGCGGGGAGGCGGGGGAGATTCGCGGATGCAGGCCCTCACCCGGCCCCGGGAGCTGCAGCCACGGACTGCGTTTCCGAACACTGCGCGTGGCTGTAGCCACCTCGCACCAGTAGGATTCGAGCTCGTCGACCTCGGGCTCCGGGACGGTGTACTCGGCGCCCCAGTCGAAGCGGCGCACTGCGCGGCTGTACTTATAGAACGCGAACTGCAGCGGCGTGTCGCGCTTCTGCGGGTGCAGGCGCGTGTCGCAGCGCAGCACCACCCCGCCCAGCGCTGCGCCGCGGGCCTCCCGCGGACCCGTCACCCTTAGCACTGGCGCCCGGAACAGCTCTGCGGAGAGGGCGGGGAGCAAAGGCGCGCCTGCTAGTCCACGGCTCCGCGACTCCGGCTCCTGCCTGCCTCCCGCCAGGGCTCCTAGCGGACCCGCAGACCCAGACGAAAGGGGAGGAGGCCGTGTGTCCACGTGGAGGGGGAAGGAGAGCCTTCTGAAATGTGGGGTAGGGGGACAAGGTCCACGAGGGACGGGGAGAGCTTGACAGGAGGAGGAACAGGGCCAGACGCTTCTTGTCACATCCCCGCTGACACTCAGCCTGGGTTCTGCAGCCTGGAAGAGGAGACGCTGCCTTGCAGGACGCTAGGGAGCCGCTCTTTGGTCCCAGTCCCACAGTGCCCCTGCCCCTGTTTGCCCCTCTCCTGGCTGTGGCTGTGGCCAGAGCTGCCCTCTGTATGGGAGTCCCCAGCCAGAGTGAGAAGCCAGGGTGTGCGTCGGGGAAAGGGAACAGCCTCCAGGCAGGCTGCGAATCAAGAGCTCCTTCACTGCGTAGGAGAGGAGGCAGTGTCTGCGGTCTAAGAGAAACCCGCCAAGTGGCAGCTATTTGAACTTCTGCCCCTTCTATTCCCGCCGGGCTCCTGTCCCCAAATTTCCCAGTGCTCGCTCGCCTCCCTCGCGGGGCCCCTAGTCTCTCCCACCTTGCACGGTCACAGCCACCTTAGCAGAGAACATGGGCGCGCTCTCCACCGGGATGCGCATGGTGCCCGAGCACTGGTAGCGCCCGCTGTCGCTGGCTCGCGCCTGCAACACCGTGTAGTTGGCGCTGGAGTGGAAGTAGCGCACGGCCTGGCCGTCGTGGTAGTAGTGTAGCTTGTAGACCACCTTGTCGTACCAGCCGCGGCAGCGCAGGATCAACGGCTCGCCCTCGAACACTGGAGCATAGGGCACTTGCAGGATCAGCCAGTCTGCGGCAGACACCTTGAGTCTCCCACAGACACGCTTGCGTCCACAGAGAGTCCAGCCCTGGAGACCTCCCACTCTCACAGCCTTCCTGCCTTCTCCCCATAGCTCCTCTCCTTTCCCTCCCCGCCATCTCCCGCTGCTTTCCTGAGCGGACAGGCCTTCCCTGGTGGTCGGTACGCAGGAGCCTCATAGTGCAAGATATATTCCTAGGTGAGTGGGGAGGAAGGGGGATGGCTGGTCTTTCATTTAGCCAGGGAGGCAAAGATGCCAGAGACTTGGCTCCAGCCTCAGAGTTTTGACCACGAGAATCAACCCCCTTAGGATGGTGTCAGGGTCTTCCTGCCTGGGTCCTGCTTACCTCTCCAGCACGATGGCAATATTCCCCCCTACCCCATTTCCTCTCTACTTTCCTCACCTCGCACTGCTAACAGGCTAAGTTCCAGCCATATTGAACTGTTGAGATAATTGGCCTTGCTCTGAGGGCAAGGCCTGTGTACCTGCTATTTCCTCAGCCAAGTAGACCCTCTTCCACCTGTTTAAGTTGAGGCCTGCTTGTCCTGCATGTCTAGGCTTAGACCTCATCTCCTCCAGAAAACCTCCCTGACACCCCAGGACAGCCTAAGGTGTCTCCCACAGCACCCCATAATTACCTGGTGATCATCAAAGCACACTTAACATAGCCCTAGCACAGAGCAGATGCCATTTTGGGTGTTGTACATTGAGAAGGGGTCCTGCAAGTAATAGCCCCGGTCCACATACACTCTCAATCTGTGCAGTAATTACTCCTATTGCACTCAGTATAATTATTGCTATCACTAACAGTTTCCAAACAAGAAACCACAGAGTATGAACATGCAGTGTGTGTAAGTGCTAATCTGAACACTGAGTGATGTCCTTTAAATTCTGAATACAATTGTGGCCCAGCAGGCTGAATAAGATGATGTAATATTCCCTATGAAGTAGCCAATCCTGTTCCTTTTTCCTTTTTCTTTTTTTTTTTTTAGATGGAGTCTTGCTCTGTCACCCAGGCTGGAGTGGCTGGAGTGCAGTGGCATGATCTTGGCTCACTGCAACCTCTACCTTCTGGGTTCAAGTGATTCTCATTCCTCAGCCTCCCAAGTAGGCACCCACCATCATGCCCAGCTAATTTTTTTTTTTTTAATCTCTCTATAGAGGTGGATGGAGTTTCACCACATTGGCCAGGCTGGTCTCAAACTCCTGACCTCAGATGATCTGCCTGCCTTGGCCTCCCAAAGTGCTGGGATTACAAGTGGGAGCCACCGTGCCTGGCAATCCTGTACCTTAATGAACAAATTATTGTTATTTTTCTTATTCTGTTTTAAAACCCTTTAAGCACCTTGAGAATCAGTTTCTCAGTTGACTCCTGTGTACACATATATACATGTCTGTAATAAAATTTTGAGTAAGTGCTTTGTTCAATTGCTGCTTTTTTTTTTTTTTTTGAGACGGAGTTTCGCTCTTGTTACCCAGGCTGGAGTGCAATGGCGCGATCTCTGCTCACCGCAACTTCCGGCTCCTGGGTTCAGGCAATTCTCCCGTCTCAGCCTCCTGAGTAGCTGGGATTACAGGCACACGCCATCATGCCCAGCTAATTTTTGTATTTTAGTAGAGATGGGGTTTCACCATGTTGACCAGGATGGTCTCGATCTCTTGACCTCATGATCCACCCACCTCGGCCTCCCAAAGTGCTGGGATTACAGGCTTGAGCCACCGTGCCCGGCCTGCTTTTTTTCTTTAACAAAACATAATTCACTTTTAATCCTCAAAGCAGCCAAATAAGGGACATACCATTATTGTCCCTTTCTTACAGATAGACACTGAGGCACAGAGAAGCATCACGCTGTTCAATTGAGAGGAGATCCTCCATCTATGCTCCGTCTGCCAGGGAGACTCACCTTTCCTGCTTGGTGAGTTTCCTTTCCTGCTCACTCCCCTACCCCTAAAGTTCTCTGTCCAGCACTCCAGGTCCTCGGAGCATTTGCTCTTCTGAGCTGGTCTCAGAAACAAACAGAAATCTTCACACTGTGCCTCACACTGTGACAGGAGGGTAAAGGGACCTTTGGGGCCAGGCGTGCTTACTGCATCTCTTGCAGAGTGTCATGCAGGTCCCTACCTGCTCCAGAGACTTAAGATTGGCCCCAGTGTGGCCCTTGTTTCCTGGACCTTGGGATTGACCCAGTGTCCTCTCCCACCAGAGGGCCCATATTGCCAGAGGAGACACATGCTCCCCATCCCCTCACGCTCAGACTACTCACCATTGGATACCGAGAGGTGGATGGGATCACTGACTGGTGCTCCCCGTGTCTGGCATCGATACACCCCTGGTGTCTGCACCTCAATGCTCTTCTTGTGAGAGGGCAGAAGTAGGTGGCCCAAGTACCAGAGAGTGTTGATGGGCCGGAGCTCCAGGAGCAGTGGGTGGTATCCATCACACTTCAAAGTTACCCGCTCCCCCTTGAAGATCGTGGTCCAAGGTGGGTGTAGAGACAATATGGGCTTCTCCAGAGTAGCTGGGGTGGGAGGCGGGGTGAGAGGAGGCAGCATGCAAAGAGAATCAAGGTGAGGTGCCCAAAGAAACAGTCTTGAGTTCGGGAAATCTTAGGAAGCCCCAGCTCCCAGGCCCCAGCCCATGTACTAACCCATCCCTGCAGGAGAGGAGATCACATTCATTGGGTTACAGACTCTCAGTCCACCAAGCAGCACCCATTTCTAAATACCTTCAAGCAAATTTAGTCCCGGGAGTTGAGGAGAGTGGGAAGAGACACTATCCCAGAGCAGCCAGGAAGTGAGGAGTCTACCTGAGCAGGTCACTTAGGGGGTTGGAGTGGAATTTGTAGAAAGTTGAGATGAGGAATGTTTAAGACTCACCAGCTTGCCCACTGCTTGGAACTGCAAAACAAGAAAGAAGGAAGAGGAAGGAGAAGGAGAATGTTGGTGATGAGAGGAAAGAGCCCCTTGACAACAAGAAAGGCTGAATGGTCCCAAAACCTGTTTTTCTTCTCCTGCCCCTGGTTTCCCAAGCTCTGAGAAAGCCCCTTCTTCATCCCTCCGAAAATAGATAATGAGCCACTTGGAAACTGAGGATTGGATACCCACCCTCCTCTCCCCGCAGCTCATTCCACCCTATCTCCACCACCCAAAGTTATTCTGCTGCCTCACTGCAGACTCACCCAGAAGCAGAAAAGCTGTCAGTGCCCACATTTTGGATCTGACTGCGGCAGTGGCAGAAGGATGAAGATGCACTGGCAGGGGACAGGGGACAGAGAGAAACAAGGTGGCCGGGGGATGCCACTGAGTACCAGGAGACATTGCTGCTTCTCCCACCCACTCCTAGTTCCTGAAGATGGCAGATTAGAATGAGTGGGAGACAGGCTGAATATCAGGTATCCCAAATGTCTCATCTACCGCCTCTGTAGCCACCTCACAGTTCAGGCTAGCCCTGACTACTATAAGGAAGGCCCTCCATAGCACAAGAGAGTTCCATAGAACCCCAGGCTCCAGCAGATGACTCTGACATCTTCAGGCTCCCATTGACATCCCACTCCCATCGCATGCCTTCTCCACCTTCCAGCCAGCCCTGCAAGGCTCAGCCGAGGAAGACACAGCCTCACATCCTTAAGGTCCTTTTCCCTGCTCACTCCTGGTGACAGACATTGTTGTGAGACCTAGAGAGGTCAATGTTGGGTTGCCTGCCCCTGGAGCTCACATCGTCACAATGAGTAGACGGAAAGGCGTGACTCACCAACCACTCTTCATGTCCCTATCATCTAGTTCCCCAGTCAAGGATAGAAATGCAATGTGTTTCTTCTTCCTCCCTTCCTGAAATCTTAAGTTCTCATAAATTCTTAAGTTCTTAAGAAGTTAAAAAAAAAAAACCTCTTCTTTCCTACTCACCCCCATGATCTCATCCTGTGGTACTTCACTCACTTGTTCCTTTCTTCCCTCCTCCCACCCTTCCCTGCAACCCCTCCCCAACCATGCCCCAGTTCCAGGACTCCTGACCTGTGGCAGAGAAGTCACTGCATCAGCCCCTCAGAAGCCTCTCAGATCTGACCTCTTCTTCTTGTGCTTTCTGAGCCATGTGACCATACCCGAGCAATGAGGAACCTGAATTTTCATGTAAATACTTAATGAATTTTCCAACCTGATAGTATGTCTCCTTGGACTCTATCCTGTCCTTACCTGTGGTTGTTTAGAACGGGGCCACCTAGATCCCTTGGAAATCTGAGGGAAGGAGATCAATTATCAGATACTGTCAACTCCCAGTAAGATAGTATCTTCCCCTCTGACCGATGCCTGAAGTTCCACTCTGAGAATCTCCTCATATTTTGCTTAATGGACTGGCCTCTTTTAAAAGTGCAAATGCCTCTTAGAAAAATGTGACTGGTTGTTTAAATTATGCTGGTCACTTCAGATACTGTTTTGAGTGCAGGTTTTGATAAAAGAGAGACAGAGTCATGTAGATCTCAAACAAAGCAGGGACATATTTGATAACACATCCTAGAATAGGGGAGGCAGAGAAGACCTAGTTACTGGGAACAGGAATGATCACCTGCCTGCTTTAGGAGTGCCTGATCTGGCCAGTGCTCCTGTGTTTCCCCTCCACCCTACTAATGCCTCTGCTCAGGGGCCAGTGTGTGGCTTCCCACATGATCCACAGCCTGCCGCAGAGGTCTGACTTCTGCCCCAAGCCACCACCTCCACAGTAAGAATGCAATGCAGCTGTCAGCTGTCCTCTTAGGCAACACAAGCTGGCTCTATTTTGGCTTCTCATCCTCCAGAGCACAGATCTCAGCTCTTTTAGTGGCTTCAGAAGAAACCTTAGTACATCAAAAATTTGTGAGCTGTATAGTCTTCCGTAGAAATCTCTGGAACTGTCTGTAGTGTTCATATTATACAGGGCTCAGAATTTGACTTGAAAAATTTCCCACCAGACATTTCTTTATTCTAGGCTCTCCTCTGAGTTTTGCTCAAAGTGAGTCTTTTTACTCCATCTAGGTCTTTTCCCCAGAGTTTCCAATTCTTCACTCCTTTACAATGCAGAAAAATCTCAAAATCATCATGTGTAACTTGAGGAATTCTTTGAGGCCTATCACAAGGTAACATCTGGACAATTCATGTTACCATTTGATAACATGCTGGTGATAAAATGTTCTCAGTGATAATGATGGTAATGAGCTAATGCTGTTATTGCTGATGACAGCTCACCTTAGTGCCTCAGGGTGTGGCAGTCACCAGCCAAGTGCTCCATAGATATTACTTAATTCTGGTAAGGCCCTTTGAAGAAGAATTACTAATATCCCTGTTTTGCATAAGAGGAAATTGAGCTGATGACACTGGGATTTGAATAGAAGTCTGTCTCCAAAATCTGTTCTCTCATCTCTGATTGTCTGGGATTCAAGATGCTGCTCATGGCTGGCTGTTATTACTGGTCTTTGCAAGTTCTCCCTCTTGTCAAGTCTTTGTTGACCTTCCTCCACACTTCTCTTCTCCTACCTTCCACATAAGCACCCGCTGTACAATGTTTACTATATGTTCCCATAGATACGCAATTTTATCTTTGAGAAATATTTAGTGTTGCTAATTTACGTAAGTGGCATTGTGTTCTAGATACTATTCCCTTTGAAAAATTAATCCCAGATGTTTAAAATTTGTTCAGATTGCTCTACTCGAATCTTGTTTATTGCTTTTGACTTCCCTATTTTTTTTTTTTTTTTTTTTTTTTTTTTTTTTTTTTTGAGACGGAGTTTCACTGTTGTCACCCAGTCTGGTGTGCAATGGCATGATCTCAGCTCACTGCAACCTCCACCTCCTGGTTTCAAGTGATTCTTCTGCCTCAGCCTCCTGAGCAGCTGGGATTACAGGCATGCATCACCATGCCTGGCTAATTTTGTATTTTTAGTAGAGATGGGGTTTCACCAGGTTAGCCAGGCTGGTCTTGAACTCCTGACCTCAGGTGATACACCCACCTCAGCCTCCCAAAGTGCTGGAATTACAAGCCTGAGCCACCACACCTGGCCATGACTGACCTAATATTCTATGCTTCTGCTACACTGCACTTGTCCATTCCCTTAACATCCTAGTTGCTGCCCACCCTCAGCTACCACAGACAATTCCACAATGGACTTTTTAGTACATATTGTGAGGGCTGGATGAATTAACATATGTAAAGGACTTAGAACAGGACTTGGCACATAGGAGGTTTCATGTAAATTAGTGCTGGTAAGGACACGATGCTTCCCTACAGAGCCCTGAAGCACCTCTGTGGGATGCACCCTGAAAGCGAGACTACATAGTTAAGTTCATGAGTTACATGCAAGCTCACTCCAAAACCCAAATCTAATTCACTGGCAAGTCCTGATGACTCTACCTGCTACACTGATCTTTTCATACAGTTATTTATTCACCTAGTTGCTAGAGAGATACTTTTCGAACATTAACCATATTGTGTTACTTTCCTTCAAAATTCCCCAAAGGTGCCCTCAGAATAAGTTTCAAACACCCTCCCATGGTCTGCAGGGCTCTACAATCAAGCCTTTCTCTGACCCTTGGCCTCATTTCCGATGACCCTCCCCCTCCCTCACTCTGATCTAGCCACATTGCATTTAGAACAGTTGCTGGAACATTCCATGCTTAGTCTTGCTTCAGGGCCTCACTTACTGTTCTTTCTGCCTGAAAGATTCTTACTCTCCTCCCAGATCTTTGTAAGTTTCACTTCCTCACGCCACTCAAATATCACCTCCTCAGAGAGACAGTGTCTAAAATAGTACCTCCTCACTGTCATTCGCTGACTCCATATTTTGCATTCTTTCTCTTCATTGCACTTGTCACTACTTGGCATTGTATTTATTTGTTTGTGGTAGGTTTTCCGCATTAGAATGTAAGCTCCAGTGAGATAGGAATTTTTTCTTATTCACTGATGTATCACCTACAACAGTGACAGCACATAGCACGTGCTGTATAAGTATTTGTGGTATAAACAAAGGAAGAGATTGAATCCAGTGGATTACTCTCAAAAGTGGCTGCAAGAGTTAATATATCCACCAGCAATTCACAGGGCTCCTGTTCCCTCTTGTCATCTATATTCGGTATTTTTTTATTTTGTAATTTTTCCAAACAAATTTTTCTTTTCCTTAATAAGAGCATTTTTTAAAATCTTTTTTGTTTTACTTGTTTTCTGTAACTCAGAATAGGGCTGATAATAATATATTTTTTAATTACTATTCTTTAATGTAAACTTTTCGTGTGTGTGTGTGTGTGTGTGTGTGTGAGCAACATGGCTGTTTATTCACCTGGGTGCAGGTGGGCTAAGGCCAAAAAGGACGCTGACAAAGGGCGGTGGAATAGGAGTTGGCTTTATAGGTTTGGGGTGGGCAGTGGAAAATTACTCAGAGTAAGATCAGTTACAGTGGTGAGGGGTAGGGGCAGGGAGTATACATTACCATAAGTTAGTTACAATGGCGGGTAGGATAAGAATACTGTAATAACTGTTAAGATGGCAGAGTGGGGTGAGGGGCTTGTCAAGGAAGCTCCCATGGGTGATTAGGAAAAATGGCGAACACAGGGGTCGGGGGGTGGGGGGGTGAGGGGGTGGGCGGGTAGGGGGGTGGGAGGAGTGTGAAACAATTAGCGGAGGAAGCAGGACTTCAGACTTTCAGGTCCAGGCTTGCATATGCAGACCCGACGTACCTGTCCTTTATATACAGAGAAAGCATTAAAAAAGAGTGGTAACAGGGTTTATGGGGGTGGGGGTGAAGTTTCTTCAGGCTTCTTAGAGCGGGATTGGAAACCTAAAAATGGGAAAGAATTTAGACTGCTGGGAGATTTGGGGGAAAGGGGTAGTAGTGTGGCGTTGTCGGATGACAATAAGGCCTATCCCAACACACCCTCTTTAAACTTCCTCCTATGACTCTAAGCAGGTCATTTTAGCCCTTCCCTAGTCTCTTCTAAGTTGTAACTGAACTAAGTTTTTCTAGGTTAGGCTACTGGACTGGGCAAAGAGACCTTTGTGTTTGGGAGGAGTCAATGCTACTCTGATCTGATAGGTCGATATCAGACCTGTTAACCCTGCTCAGATCATTACTCTCTATTCCTTCCATCCCTAGCCAAGGCCCTTGTCTCCAAAGGCTGGATGAGAACAATAGGCTTTAAACTGGGTCCCATACCTAGAATCCACCTCCCTCAACCTCTCTTCTAGTCATCCCAGTCATCTCATACCAGAGTAATTATCCTAAACTTCGCTTTTCACAAGCTCCTCCCCTAATTGAAATTCACCGACAGAATTTGATCTGTTTTCTTATGGACATTTAAAGAGCCTCTGTAGCACATTTAAGAGCCCCTATAGTCTATTTACTTCTCCATTATTATTTCCTTCCACTGAACCCTGTTTCAGTCAAAGGATTCGTCTTCCTTTTTCCTGACATCAACATGCTGACTTCTTTTCAACCAAAGAAAGGCATTTCAATACCAAATTTTGCTTTTACAAGCTTTGTTACTATAAACATCATACCTGTCTTCTGGTGTGCGTATGCTAAGTTACCTCTTTGACATATCCACCTAGGCATGGAATTCTGGGCTATAGGGCATGCAAGTGCACTATTCAACTTATAAGATAATGGATGTGTATCACATAATAAGAAATGTATAATTTTTCTCTGCCCCTCTGGGTTGCTCTTTGGCACAGAGGATTTCCTGAGTGATAGGGATGAGAGGAGTATCTCTCGTTAGGTATGATTAGCCCCTTCCATCATACCTGAGTTTATGCTAATAAGGTGACTCTTAACTCTGCAAATAGAGAGTTGGAACTTTCAGGGGTCTGTGCTAACTCTGGGTAGTTAGAGTAAGAGTTGGTAAATTACAGAATATCTAATTGGTTCTGCTAAGAATTAGAGATTTGCTTGGTGTGGGAAACCCACCTTGACTTCCTAGAGGAGAGAGAGGCTGAAGTTTGAGTTACTCACCAATTGCCAGTGATTTAATCAATTATACCTGCATAATGAAGCCTTCATTAAAAATCCTAAAT